GGTTGATAACCAATCAGAAATAGCCGAGACTTGACCTTCTAAAAAATCCACTGTATTGCGAAGATCTTGAAATTTTGATTTTAATTGCTGATTTTCAAGAGCATCATTACGTTGCTTATACATCTTGAAAACTCTTTCAATGGTTCATAACTACAAGAAACAATGTGATCTGATAGATCATGTTGACGACCTTCCAAAACACAACAAAATTCTGCATGACGACAAGTGACATATTTGTCTGGACATTCTTCAAGGTGTAAAGTATGTTCTGACTGAATACGTGTCATATGACAAAAAGGACATTCTATTGTTGACAGGACAAGTAATTTTATGTCCCTTTATAAAAATGTGTATTAACTTTAGTCATCTAAAATAAAATAGACAACCATTAAAAAAAAAGGAGAGCGATAATACTTTTAAAATCTCACCTCTAAAGTAGATAATGAAACTATTTCTTTACAAATTTCACATTTAACCATTCTAGCTACACAACTTTCCATATGTTTTGATAAATCCTTTTTTAAAATCAAATTTAGTGAATAAACACTCTTCTTGTAAATGAAAGTTTAATAATTAACATTGTCCTTGATAAACTAATAATTCATTAACCATATTCATAATTATTTTTGCAGCAGGTTTAAGTTCATTAACGTTAGAAATATGAGATCGAAAGTTAGATCTAGTTGACTATGATTGAGTAATACAGTCCTTGCAAAATGTGTGACTGGAAAGGTCAAAAGTATGAAATAAGTAAGCTGTTCGGAATTTGATTATTTGAATGCGAAATGATTATTTTACCCGCAACTATCTATGACTACAGGCTAAACGAAAGGTGTCTGACAAATACAACATATAAGGTTGGAACTAACTGATTCCACATAAGCTATGGAATTCAAATCCATTGTTATAATGATAATAAGAAAGTAATAAAATTGTCTATTTTGTGTTTTCTTTTCATTCTTTTTATTAATTTCAACATTGAATCACCGAATCATTACTCAAAAAAAAGGAGGAAGTTGATAAAAATCGGTATTGAATCTCAAGTTATCAGATTTGTTAGCTATGCCGTTTTTAACAATCACTAGATTCATGACTAATTTATCATTGGTCGAAATTATGGCATAATTGTAACAATTATATTATGATCTGAAACAATTTTTTTATTAATTTTTTAAACAAACGGCAATGATTGAAGAGATAAGAAACCAGCTAAACATTGCACTTGAAGAGTATAGAAAGGCTGAGGAGAAGTTGAAGGCGTTTGAAGAGGGGAAAAAACAGGTGAGGTTAGACGATTTGGAGGATAAGTTGTATAAAGAAAAATGGAGGAACGGAGACCAGAAGAAGGGTTGGGAAATGCAAAGGGACAGGTTAGAAAAAGAAAAGAAGAAGTTAGAAGAGGATAAAGATGATTGGAAGGAGCAGGTGGTATACTTACAAAAAAAATTAGTTGAATTTGACAAATATCCATTTCCGTATAAAGGTACATTTACCATTATCCCTCTTGAATATTTAATTTTTCCTAACATTTAAGTCTCTTATCATTCAATAGGTATGTTTGATTACTATATTTTCATTTTAAAATCATTCGTTCATCTGAAAAGTTTGTTTATTATATTAATTTATTCAATATTTTCATGAACTAAAGATGAAGGTAACTTACCATAAATTATTTGATTGCATATTATATATATTACATTATCTTAAATTTATGTATCATATCTACTTATAATATGCCATGCTATTATATTTTAACATTCATGTTCTCATACTCATAATTTATATTTTTATTAATCAATTTTATTTTTATCCTTCCATCTTCAAATATCCAACATAAACATATTTGTTATATTTCATCACATGTTTCGGGTTTTATAGAACGAATAAAACCAGGTACTTCTATGAAGCAAACATACATCTTCTTTTATCTTTATATATACATATATATTTGGGTGGATAAATTACTTATATTATTTCTCATTGAAACATCCTCAGCACCCTCAGCTCTTATAAACTTTTGGATTTCTTTAAACGATTCATCTAGCAATGACCAAGTTCTTTCTCTTCCATCTGGTGTCCATTTTCTTGGGGATTCACTTTTGTATCCAACCAAGCTCATAATTCGACAAGCATATAATGATCTATGGAATAATATTAATTCTTCTGTTGAATCTGGCATCTTTCGACGTTATACCATTACTGGAAACCCTGGTATTGGAAAGAGTTATTTTCTATTCTATTTGCTATACATCCTTCGATGTAAAGGTGCTACTGTGGTTTTTGACAGACAGATTGATAAAAAATATATTATCTTTACTGGTGAAAATGTATACATGTATGTTCTCCAATTTTTATATTCTTATTTTGGCAAAATGATGAATTAATTCTATTTTTTTTTTTTTTTATTATTCAGAACATTTTATGATGATATGGTTGAATCTTTTTTGAATAATCCTACAACTTGGTATCTTGTTGATACAAAACCACCACCTTATGTCCATGCCATTACTATCCTCGTCTGTTCTCCAAATAAAGCATATTACAAAGAATTTCGCAAAATGTTAAAGTCAACAATAAGGTACATGCCTATTTGGAGTTGGAATGAAATTGTAAAATGTCGAAATCTACTTTATACAGACATTATTGATAGTGAGTTGATAAAATATTACAATCATTGGGGTGGTATTCCAAGATTTGTATTGGAGAAAGCTGGAGATCCATCACAGGATCTGTTGTTAGAACAAGCAATAGTAAGCATTAGTTTGGAAAAATGCTTACAAAGTGTTGGTGAACTTGATAGTAAAGAAGACACTAGCCATCGGATTCTCCATATAACCACCTCTGACTATATACACACAACAATACAATTTGCAACTACCTATGTTGCTGAAAAGGTTGTTGCTTATTTTGTTTAACAACAACGTGATTCACTCCGCTATTTTTTATTAGCCAGTGAGGAAGAAAGCATTACAAGTTCATTCCGTGGACAATTGTTTGAGGGATATGTTCACAATCTATTACGAAATGGAGGAGAATTTAATATTAGAAATCTTAATGATAATAATATTGTTTATTCTAAAATCCAATTAACAAAACGAAATCTGAAATCCTTTCAAAGTTTATCTGAAATTGATTTTACTGTTGATGATTATTGGAGACCAATAGCAAAGAATTTCCCATCATTTGATTCTCTGATACCTTCTGTTGGATTATTTCAAATTACAATAGCATTAAATCATAATATCAAAATAGCTGCATTAAAAGAATATGATAAAGTTATTGGTAATAAGAATTCTAATATATTTTTTGTTGTTCCTAGCAGTATATTTAACAAATTTATTAAACAGAAGTATTGTATAGAAAATGGAAAAATAGCCGAGAATATCCCTTTGTGGATTCAAAATTTATAACAATATGTTATGGAAATTAACATATTATAAAAGTATTACAAAGGTATTAATAAGAGAAGAAAAATATTATATTAATAAATATAACTTAACAAAGAAAATATTGATTGGTAAATATAATGAAAGCTAAAATAACAATTTTTTTTTATTATATATATATTATATAGTGTTAATTATTAAATTTATAGTTTATAATAATTTATGTAAAATTACATTTATAAAAATATTATCTTAGTTATAAAATAATTGATTTTTTTATTATTTTATACATTTTATATTCTTTTAATAAATCAACTTTTTTGTATAAATTTAAATAATATAATTATCATTAAAATCATAATAATTAATTGCAAATTACAAAATTTATGAAATTCTTATATTATTTAAAATAAATTAAACATTTTGTTATCATGATTAAGAATGTTAATCATTTATGATTATCATTATAATTATTTATCATAATTGCTTTTTTTAATAAATAATTGTTACTATATTTATAATAGTATAATTAGTTTTAATAATTAAAATTATATCTAAAATTATTTGAATATTTTAACTCAATAGTCAAAATTTAAGTATGATATAATGTTATCATAATATATAGCAAATATAAAAACATTATAGTAAACAACTATACCTGTCATTATAAGATCAATTTTAAAATCTTTTAACTTTAAAATAATTGAAAAATCTATAAAATGAATATAAAAAACCAAATGTTTCTAACAACTAAAAGACAAAGCATATACGAAAAAAAACCTGAACCTTATAACAAAATTATTCCAAACTCTTCAGATAACAATAAAAAACCAAGTGTTCTATCTTCCAATGATAACGGAAAGAATAAAAATAACGACAATATTACTAAAACTACAAAAAGACAAAAAACTGATACTCCTACACTCAATAGTATTCTAACATTAACTGAAGACCTAGATAATACATAACAAACAACAGTTATTACATAGACCACTTCTTTCACTTTTAAAGCAGGCTTTGTCTTTGAAGACTCAGAAGTCTATGAAATGAAAATATATAAAATAAAAAAAGTTCTACTTTTCTCATTTCAAGACGCTGACACTAATGTTTCTAGACATACAAACAATATAATGAATGATCTTATTTCACTCCCAATTATTTCTACTACTGACAAAGGAAAAATAACAACTCTCTTAGGTTGATCAAGTTGAAAACAATGTAAACGAACTTAATCAATCACGTAACTCTAACATGAAAGATACTTTTTTTAATATTATTATTTTACTAACGTGTTTCTTTGTATCAGATGATGCTGCAGATATTACTGGTAAATCTATCGCTGATAAAAAGAATTTCATCAACAGGCTGTTTGTTAATTTTCCTAGTTATCAAAAAGCATTGTACAACTCCAAACTAAGAAAGTTCTTTGTATATTTTTATGCCATTGATCAACTAACACATGTAGTAACAAAAGTTTAGAAAATGTAACACAACCTTGTATTTGTGATTGCTGATCTATTTGCAAAGAAACAATGACTAGATGCTGAAAAAAGAAGATGCATTAAAGTCAATGATATTCACTTATTTGTTAACTCAGATGTAGTACAAAATTTTTTTCAACAACATGATATTATTGCTAGATTTTCAATGATCACCAGAGGATCTTGACAAATCGCATTCATTGTCTATGAATCACCTGACACTATAAAATCATTCTATAATGAAGTATAGTCTTTGCTATTATTAGATTTCACAGTTCGTATTGAATCCACTGACCTCAATATTATGCAACTGATCTTAAGATAACAGTTTGAATTAAAATTAATTGGCTTACCATTTAATACGACACAACAGGATTTATTAATCTTTTTTGATTCTATTAAAGCAAAATTATATTTTATTCTAAGAGATCTTTAATATCGTAACTGCCCTTATGCATACATCAATTTTGACAATCAAGACAACTATGACTCTGCAACTAAATCTTAATATAAATTTAAATCTAACGTGTTATTTTAAGTTAATCTTGCTATACTTCACTATCAAAAATATGGTAATCCTAATCACGAAACCAAGAATTATACCCTCAAAAACCTTTTAACTAAAGCTCTGAACGGTTCAGATTAATCTGAAAATTTTCAGTTCAGATCAACTTCAGTTCAGTTTCAGATTGCAAAAA